AAATGAAATTTTGCATTTATTTTGTACATGAATTCATTCTATATCTGCCATTAATACAATGATCTCTCTCCCTCTCTGCATTTGCATATATACCTTACAGAGGAGGGGTGTTATAAGATTGGTTAATATATGGATGGAATTTATTATTGTCTTTTATCATTTTCAAATACTAGTCAAAGAAGAAATCTGATAAGTGTACGAAAAAAGGAAAATCATTTTTAGATTGGTATACTGAGTTGTATGTATTTTCATAGTGTGGTTGCTCTAAGTCTCCTATGTTGATTCAAAGTTAAATAAATGCCTCATATTCTCACACGTAAGTGGGAGGTAAGCACTGGCTTAGCTATGGCTACACAAGGACACACAGAGTGGTATAATGGACACTGGTGACTTAAAAAGAGGGGAGGAAGTGAAAGATAAAAAAATACTTATTGGGTACCATATACACTATTTGGATGATGAGTGCACTAAAAGCCTAGACTTCACCACTGCACTATATATATATGTAATGGAATTCAACTTGACCCCCTAAATCTATTAAAATATTTAAAAAATCAAAATAAATAAATAAAAGCTAAGGTGGCCCAAGTGGAGAAGTAGAAATTACATGCGGATAGTTGAAAGAACTCATATGTTGGAGGCAAATGTCCCCTTTTAAACTATTTCATCATTTCATTATTGAGTTCTTTTGCATGAAATAATGCTCAAATCCTGAAATCCATTCACTTCCAAAGGATGAGAAAAGAGGAATATGTTCATTCCAACCATCTAGACAAGTAAAAAAATCTAATACAACTTTAGTAAAGAAAGTCACAGTACGATTAGGATTTTTCAGTCCTGAGTCTCAGCAATGGTAGTATGGAGCTTGTTGCAGCAGTTAATGCAGAGATGAGGATATTTAGGTACGTGGGTTTCAGTGACTTGTCAAAAATCACTTACAATTACTTAGAACTGATTAAGACTAGCATCTAAGTTTATTGATCCCTGTTAAATCCCTGGGAGAAAAGGAAGAGAGGACAGACATGCTAGGTCTTAGAGTAAGAAAACACTAGCAAACCAAGAGATCCTCTGGCATCTGCGTCCACCCATCCCACGGAGGACCTGGCAGGTTAGTGCCAGCAGTCTGCTCATGCCCTAGCCCTACTGTCCAACATGACTACTGAGGGCTCCCAGACAGAGACACTGCCATTTCCGTCATGGGGAATTAGAATCTTCTTCAGTCACCCACCTTTGATGTCTAGCAGAATGCCTCGGGAGTGGCGCAGACAAGGAGGGATCTGAGCGGCTCTGGACGAAAGCCCTGCAATTAAACATGTGGTATAAGTCATTATCCGCAAAACAGGCCTCCTGACTCCAAAGCCAGGCCTCACTCAGATCAGCCTCTTCTGCTCTTGGGCCTTCACTTGAGCTTATTGACCAAGCCTTTGACCCACTGCGCCATTCTCACTGCTGCGATCCCCTTAAGGATTGCATCTCAGCCTGCTTGACAAAGGATGCTGACACAACAATGCCATCCCACAGTCCTGAGCTTTGGCCTTGCCCTGGCTTCTGCCTGCCTGTCTCTGCCAGTCTGGCACTACCTCCTCCTCATGCTGTATTAGCACCAATCTCCAGCTCTCCAGACTTTTTTTTCCCTTTGGGTTTTCCTCCTCTAGAATGCACAGCTATCATTGCCCAGACTGGGAATTACAAGCCCAGTGCTTTTATCATTATACCACCTGAGCACTGATTGTATTAGTCTGTAGACATGTTTTCCCCCTTAAATAGTTTATATTCACTTTGAGAGACAAAATATCACACACAAACACACAACAGTAAGAGCAATAAGGACCTTGCATTAGTTGTCAAAATGGAGTGGTGTGTGCGGTAACATTTTTAGAATTTCTGAGAAAGTGGTGAGAGTCAAAAGGAACAAAGATATTCTACAAATTCCTCCCTAAAGGGTGATATGCCAGTATATGTACTAGCATCCCTCCCTTGCTTTTTGGTATTATTACTTTTCCCTCTTTTAGTTCAGTGACGTCATTATTTCCAGATAAATACGTGGAAAATACAACTGTGCAAAATGCACTCGGACAAGAATCAAAAAGGAACATATATAAAAAATCATTTTAAAAAATTGATATGGACTGCTGAATTATGCTTGATTTTTCTTTCCTTTGAAAAATACCCATTTTTTAAAAAAAATAAAAAACAAATAATGTTGTTAGTGTGATGATTACAAATCTGGAGAATAAAGTTCCTGAAAGAATTTTATATCACTGATCGTCCTTGTTTCTTTTGTTTCCTCCCAGGTGTTGCTGGCACTAATATCATAATAGGCATAATTGCTGGCACCATCTTAGTGCTGGCCCTCATATTAGGAATCACTGCATGGGGTTATAAGTAAGTGAAATGTCTCAGTTTTTTTACTATCAGAATAGACTTTTAAACATTTTCATTAAATGAAAATTTCTAGAAAGTTTTGTATCATTCCATAAATACACTTGCAATGAAAATCGGTCTTGTTCAACAATCGGTGATTTTCTTCGCATGGTTAGAAGTAATAATTGATCCTTTTTTAAAAAATTTTGAGGCAATGCCCTTCTATTCTAAAAGTACTGCATATTGTTTAAAATCACTGAAGTGAATTAAAACCAATCTAAATTGTGTCTTACAAAAAGGCTGGGTTGGTTTGCACTTCAGTGACACAGCTTCTGTTGACTTAAACCTGTACCCCCAAATCTAGGCAAGACAATCAGAGAACTTAGTACTTTAATAACAATGGCAGCAATAACAGTAATAACAAGAACAGCAGCAGCAGATCTGTCAATGAGCATTTGCTGTGGTCATGTATCATGCTAAGGGCAAAGCCTCTTTATTTTCATAACCGATATGCAGGAGGTGTTATTATTTGTTAAATATGTGAGTTTATTTGTGTGGAGAAAAGACCGTTGCAAGATTTAATTTGTTTGTTAAAATTAAAATTCAACTTTAAGTTACAAATTTTAAAAGCCTAATTCTCTTAAGCTTCCAAGTTCAACTTATACCTTTTTTGG